AAAAAAAGAAAAGCAAAAACAATAAAGCTGTTTGTTCCTCAGTTACTCTGCAAGCTCCAGGAAAACCGCAGGCACATCCCACAAAGAGAGGAGCGGCCTGCTATTTTATGGAGAAGGAGGAGGAAGTGCGAGGGGTTCCTGAAGCCAGGTCCGCCGGAGAGAAGCAGGTGTTTGGGGTGATGACCACCGGCGAGCTGCAGGGGGCTGGTGTTCTTCTAGGAGGAGCAGTGCGCCTGCCTCCCTGGTGGGGTCCCACTGAAATCCTGTGGATTCTGAGGCTTCTTCCCGGGGCGGGGGGTGGCTCCCCCTTCTGGCCTCGGGACTCCACTTTAGCAGGGTTTCTCTTTACTAATGGGCACACCACAGCTGGAGTGTAGACCCAATGTCATTGCTGTTGTGATCCTGACACCGGTTCTAAAAATTTCTGTGGAAGAGCTCGGGGCTCCAGGAAGAGAAGCAGGAGAGGGGACTGTCTTCCCAGAGAGGAAGACACACGAGCGCTCCCTGGACGGTGCCACATGCTGGGTGCGCTGAGCTGGAGGAGGACAGGCCCACAGACGTGGCATGTGGCCTGGGCCAGCCCTCCCCACACATCAGGGCAGAGAGGCCGGCCCCACATGATCCAGGCCCCGGACAACCGGTTCTCCACATGGGAAAACGGGGCTCGGAGCCCTTCCCTTGCATCCCACACACAAACCACTTCCACGTGGGTCAAAGGCTGGTCCTGAGCAAAACAGCAAAACCTCCAGAGCACGACTTAGGAGAGCATCTGACAACCTCACGGCCGACGACGCACACAAGACCACAGAGCAGAAAATGACTAATTCAGAGCTTCCGGCACTTCACGGCTGGAGGATGAACGTCCAGAGCACACAGAAAGATGGACAGTCTCTAGAAACTGGACTAAGAGTTTGAACAGACGCTTCGCAGAAGACAAGAAAGACATGCTAGGCTGTCTCCTCAGTAACCGAGGAAACACCACTAAAATCTCGGGATTTCATCTTCACCAGCTTCTCAAAAATCTAAAAGCTGCACAATTCCAAACACTCGTGGGGATGCAGAGAAATGAAACCGCGGGCCAGATGGCACCCCCATTCCGAAAACAATATAGGATTTGCTAGTGAGCTGAACACACACATACACGCAGCAGCCAGCTAGTTCCTGGGACCTCGTCCCGAGACTCGCATGCAAGTGCGCAGATGCACACAGCAGCAATCTTAGCAAAAACAGCCTGAAGCTAGAGAGCCCTGCGTGCTCAGGCATGATGTGTCGGCTTTGGTACAGTCACTGTGGAAAACAATGCAGCAGCCAGAATGAACAGACGACCACTTGAGCTGTTGACATGGGTGAATCTCAGAAGTCGTGGCAAAGAAGCGCGTTACAGAACAGAATGTCCAGTGTATAAAATCGGGTCCCCAAGCCAGGAAAAGCAAGCTGATACATTATTTAGAAATGCACGGATAGGTGGCACACTCTAAAGAAAAGTAACAGAGTAACAGACACAAAATCCAAGACCAGACCACCCAGGGGCAGCTGACGAGCCGGGTGCCTGCCCCTGTTCTTGGGTCATTATTCCTTCCACAGCACTTGCGCGACCCACACGCTCTCCCGTGAGTCTGCTGTCCCTCATGAGGCAGCACAGGTTTTTCTCCCTCCTGGGGAGCCTTTGACAAGTCTGCTTTCCTCAGGACAGGGGTGCGTGGGCCTCCCCGGTGCCCACACCCCGTAGTTCAGGAGCACCCCTTTCTCACTGCACATGCACAGAGCCTACTATGTCTCTGGCCCACAGGAGGTGCCCAGCAGGTGTTTGTTGAATGACTGAATGAGCACATGAAGAAAGGGAACAGTAAGTTGTGAACATGAATGAAGGTGAGTCTCACTAAAGTGGGCTCTTGATGCCAGAAGGGGAGGCTGGAAGGGGGAGCGAGACCACGCAGCGTCAATGACAGGAAGAATCATCAGTCCCAGGCCCCACCCGGGAAAGATGTGCACTGTCCCTCCTACAAGAAATCGACCCTCTGCCGCTCAGCCTGTGAAAACTCTCCATCGCCCGGAACTCTTGCTTCTCTCCAGCGGGCTTGGTTTCAGAACAACCCCTCCCACTTCCTCCTTCTTCTCCATAAAATAGCATTCCTCTCCTTTCTTTGTTGGATGAGCCTGCGGTTTTGCTGGAGCTTACAGATGCCAAATTGCAATTCTCTGTTATTCCCAAATAAACCCATTTTTGCTAGTAAAATAGGCTGTCTTATTTTTAAGGTTAACAGTGAAGGGCCTTTAACGGTTAAGATGTTTCAGCCACAAGATGACGTGGCTCCCAACGAGGAGACTGAGGCATAGGCCTCAGCAAATGTCCCCAGCCTGGGAGGTCCAGCTCCCGTGAGGGGAGGGGGCTCTGAGGACCCCCCTTCCCTCACCTCTCTGCAACTGCATTCCTCTGCCAGGACCCAGGGCCAAGCCATGCACAGCACATCTGGAGCTCTCCTAACCCCAGTCACCCCCAGGTTCCCGGAGGGCCCCTCCCACGCAGAAACCCCCTTTTCATGCCCCCCCCCGCCAGCCCACCTTCCACTCCTGAAGGAAGGGCGTCTCTGCACCAAGGAAGGATGTGGCCACCCCGGGTTCTGTCTCAGAGAGAGCTCTCCCAGGCTGTTCCCTGCTCCCTGCCTGCCTTCTGGGCCCTCCGCCATGAGCCCTCCGGCATCCAGGCCTCCGCTACCCCGGCCCCATCCTCTCATGGCCGGTGGGCCTCCGTCCAGGGACCAACCAGAACATCAGGGAGCCCTGCTTGGGCTTGGTGGGATGAGGTGTGGGGGCTGGGGGCCAGCACTGGGTGGGCAGGCCTGCAGGCAGCCCCCCCCCCCCCCCCCCCGTGCCCTTGCTTGCACTGGGCTCCCTGTGGGCCGCCTTTGTCTCTCTTTTCAATCTAATCTGCAGGCCTCTGCCTCCTCTGTGCTTGCCGCCCCCCCCCCCCCCCCCCGGCCGAAAGGCCTAGAAGGGGGAGGGGTGCTGGCGGGGAACCGGGTCTGGAGCCCTGTGCTGGCCACACCCAGAGACTCGGCTGGAGCCCAGCCAGACAGTGCGGTGAGGAGGCTGAGCCATCTCCGGGCCTCCCACCCTTTCTGTTGTTGGGGTCCAGAGCTGAAAGAAAGGCTCCTTTGCTAAGCCCGTGACACCAGACCCTCAGCCTGGGCAGCATCCCAGCCCAATTGTCCCTGCCGGCTCCAGCCAGCCAGGGCGTTGCCCAGACCCTGCCCCCATCAAAGGCCACCCTCTGGCCCCCCACCTCCCTGCCCCGTCACTGGCGCTCCGGGTGGTCCTGCCACATGGCTCCCTGCTGTTACATGGCTCGATTCTTGGTGCTGGAATTCCTACTTTGCCCAGGGCATGATGTGGGGGTGGCCCCTGGCCAGGGAAAGGGGTGATGCTTGGCACCGAGGGTGCGTGGGGAGTGGAAGCATAGAGCTCAGACATTTCATGGGATTAAGGGCAGAGGTGAGGTCTGGGGCTGGCTGAGCACTTGCCTACCCCAGCCAGCATCCAGGGATGGAGCAGACCACCAGGTCTGGGAGATCTTCTCCCTTATCTCCCCGCCCTGTGCACAGAGGACCCTCCCCCTGCTCGCCTCCCCTCCCGCCTCCCCAATCCAGGCTTCTGGGCACCCTCCTTCCCAGGCAAAGGGGGCATCGGGGATGGGCCAGGCCCTGAGCCAGGAGGCAGGGCCTGGGTTTTCCTTTCTCAGCTTGGTGTGACTGTGACCATCTTGCCCCTTTGTCTGTGTCCTCACCTGTCACCTTGGGACTAGGGCTGGGTGAGGTAGGTCTGGCCTCATGCTCTCTGGCTGCTCAGCTTTGAGCCCCACCCTGCACCTTGAAGGGCAGGCCCCGCCGGGGGGTCAGCTTGGTGTCCGCAGGGCCTAACCCTACACTAGCAGCTACCTGCCATGCAGCGCGGGGCTGGGTGACCCGCTGGCCCTTCACTGCTTTAAGGCTGGGGCAGGGACCCAGTCGGGGACCCATGTGGTTCTGACGCTAGGGGTGTCTCCTTCTTTCAGGACCAGGCCAGGGAAAAGCCAGCCCCTCCAGCCACCGGACCCTCTGCTCAAGGCTGCCTAGGAACCCGCCCAGCCCACCCTTCTGCCTACAAGCCCAGCGACTCCCCCGGAGAGGGCTGAGAGATTTCTAGGTCCCGCCGGTGTAATCGGCGAGTGCCCACAGGCAGACCCTGGTAGCCAGTACTAGGGGCCTGGGGGACCCGTCAGAGGGCATGAGTCTCTGGGACTGGGCGGACCGGAAGGCGGAGGGTGGGCGCTGGGAGGGGCGGTCCGGGTGATTCAGCGGCAACTTCTCTCACCTGCGCCGGCGGGCCGGGGCGGTCGGTGGGCGGTCGGCCAGCCGTGGGCGGTCCTGGCCCGCCAGTGGGCGTGGCCAGCCGCGGACCTTGCCCGTTCGCGCCCCGCCCCGGGCGGCTACCCGCCGGGCCCCGGGCCCTCGGCCTCCCGCTCCCTGCCGCCCCGTGGACAACGCCTCGCCCGCCCGCCCGCGCGCCCGCCTATGGCTGGGAAGGTTCTGTCGCTGCTGCCGCCGTTGCTGCTGGCCGTGGCGGGCCTCACGGGGCTCCTGCTGCTATACGTCCCCACCCGCGACGTCCGGGAGCTGCCCGCCCTCAAGGTGCGCGCTCGGGCAGCCGGCGCAGTGCGCGGAGTGGCGGACCCGGCTGGGAGGCTCGGACCTGAGCAGGGCCAGGCTGCGCCCGCGTGGCAGCCCCGGACCGCCAACCCGCGCTGCGCCGCGCTCCCGGCCCGGCGGGGTGGAGGCCTGGGAACTCCCGCGCGTCGCGTCCGCCGCGGAGCCTGTCGCGGGCGCGGCCGGGGAGCTGTCCCTCCGCCCTGGACGCCGCAGGCTGCGGCTGGACTCTTGGCCCCCAGCCCCGTACGGCTCCCCGGGACGCATCGGCTCCAGGTTCAGCCACAGGCGCTGGAGGCTAGGGATCCCTCCTCACCTACCCGGAGGCCCTGACAGTGCCGGGGGGGGGGGGGGGGGGGCGCTGCCCTCGAGGGGCGCCTGGCAGGGTCCTAAAGGAGTTGGGGTGGACTAGGCCAGATCTCCCACCAGTCTTCAGGAGTCCCCCCGACTCCCTTGACCCTTTATTGGACTTGTGCCAAGGGGGGTTGGTGTGAGCATGTGGGTGCTCCAAGCCCCAGGGGCCCAGGATGGGAGATCACAGGAGTGGGTGGTCTGTAGCCAAGGGCTATGACTAGGTGGGGCTGGGGCTGGGGCGGCCCGATTAGGATTAGCGTGCTGATGCTGCCCTTCCCAGGCTGGGGAAGGGGACAGGGGTGGCCCCTTTCTGGGCTCAAGAGGGCATGTTCTCCAGTGGGGTTCTCGCTGTGGGAATCCTGGCCCTTGGGAAATGGCCCTTTCGATTGCAAGGAAGGCCCATGCAGCCCCTCTCAGCTGGGCAGGACCCAGCTGTCTGTGACTTGAGGCTCAGGGAGGGGGTGTTTTCAGGCAGGCTTCCAGAGCCTGAGATTGGGCTGAGATTGGGGAGGTGGGGGCAGAGAAGAGGGAGGAAGAGTGGGTGGAGCGGGTTCCTGCAGCTGGGTTTCTGTTTTGGAAGCTGGGGACCTCGTGTCCCCAGGGCAAGGGTCAAGGGTGGTCCCAGGACTCCTCTGACCCTGACAGATTCCCTCAGCTTGCCCTTGCCACGAAGATTCCTGCAGTCAGAAGAGAAGAGGCTCCAGGCCATCTGCCCCTGGCTGCCCCCATTCTCTCCCCAACCAAGCTGTGCCTCTGTGGTTGTCCCTGGCGCCTGAGCCCCAGGACTTCATTCTGGAGGTTCCAACCTTGCCACAGGGTGGGGTAGGGTGGAGAGCTGGGGGAGCCAAAGGGCATGGCCTCAGGCCCCACCCCCACCCCCACGGCTGACCCCACCCTCACCCCCCCTTCCCAGTATGGCATTGTCCTGGACGCTGGCTCTTCCCACACATCCATGTTTATCTACAAGTGGCCCGCAGACAAGGAGAATGACACGGGCATCGTGGGCCAGCACAGCTCCTGTGACGTGCGCGGTAAGGTCCCCTGAGTGCTAGGCACCCCTGGTTGGGACACCCACTCATTGTAGGGCCTCAGGGTCCCTCTCTGGCCTGAGCCTCCAGAGTCTTGATGCCTCCTTTGCTTGATGCGGCTGGAGCCTGCTCCAGGAAGGAACTGCTGGAGGCTCCAAAAGAGAGGCTAGGGGCAGTTCATTCTAGAAAGTAAGCCCCGTTGGGCCTCGCCTGGCCCAAGACTGGCACACCCAGGCAAGCCCCTGAGGAGGCAAGGCCAGATTGACAATGCCTAGTGCTTTATCCTGGCACCTGTGTGCACACCCCTGGGCAGGCAGCAGCCTGAGAGACTGGGCGGCCCCCAGGCAGGTGGGCCCCTTTGTCTCTGAGGGCTGGAGCTGGGAAGGTGTGTCTAAGCTGCCACCTGGTTTGAGAGCCCAAGGTCCCCAATCCTGCTGGCCCATGGCTCACCTAGGGGCTGCCTGTCAGGCTTGGGCCCATTTCCCTGTCTCCCTCTAGGAGGGGGCATCTCCAGCTATGCAGACAACCCTTCCAGGGCTGGCCAGAGTCTTGTTGAATGCTTGGACCAGGCACTTCAGGACGTGCCCAAAGAGAGACACGTGGGCACACCCCTCTACCTGGGAGCCACAGCAGGCATGCGCCTGCTCAAGTGAGTGTGCCCGCCCCCTGACCATCCTCATCTACACAACAGCCTCAGCACAGGGTGGGCCCCCACACACCCTCAGCCATGGCCCTGGGCAGACACGGTGCACCCCAGCAGCAGGATCTTAGCTACCTGGGGAGGATGCCCCTCAGAGTCCTCCCTGTGTTACAGCCTGACCAGTCCAGAGGCCTCGGCCAATGTGCTTGCGGCTGTGACCCAGACGCTGACCCAGTATCCCTTTGATTTCCGTGGTGCCCACATCCTCTCGGGCCAGGACGAGGGGGTGTTTGGTTGGGTGACCGCCAACTACCTGCTGGAGAACTTCATCAAGGTGGGCCTGATGGCCAGCCCAGTGAGCCAGGGGGTGTGGGACCCACCCACTGGCTGACCCCAACCTCCACTCCCCACAGTATGGCTGGGTGGGCCGGTGGTTCCAGCCAAGGAAGGGGACGCTGGGGGCCATGGACCTGGGGGGCGCCTCCACTCAGATCACCTTCGAGACGGCCAGCCCAGCTGAGGATCCAGCCAATGAGGTCCAGCTTCGGCTCTATGGCCAGCACTACCGGGTCTACACACACAGCTTCCTCTGCTATGGCCGTGACGAGGTCCTCCGGAGGCTGCTAGCTGGTGCACTGCAGGTGCCCCACGACCCCCAGCCCACCAGCACTACTGTGCCCTCCTGGAAGGAGGGGGGGTGAGAAGAGATGGGAGCCAAGGGTCCAGAGCAGAGCCTGGACAGAGGGGCGCTGCTCTAGGCAGCAGAAGCCAAAGCTGGGCTTTAATCAGCGGGCAGGACAGATGCAGAGGGATCTCTCATGCACAAAAGCCAAGTGGTGGGGGTGGGTCTGGTGAGTGCCTGGCTGGGGAGAAAGGAGGGCCAGGGCCGGGTCTCGAAAAGCCTGGAGTGCCTGTGCCAGGGGGGTAGGTTTTCTCCAGCAGACAGTGGGGAGCCATGGATTGCTCTTGAGCACGGAAGCGATGTTGCCCAAGTGGGACTTATGGGAGATTCATCAGGCAGGTCCTCTGGGAAGGGCCTCTGAAGGCCCTGGGCTGGGGGCAGGGGCCAGTGCCTGGCGTAGGGGTGATGCCTGTTGCACCCTTGCATTCCCCCCAGACCCATGGCTTCCATCCTTGCTGGCCAAGGGGCTATTCCACCCAAGTGCTGCTTCAGGATGTGTATGAGTCTCCATGCACTGCGGCCCAGCGGCCCCAGGCCTTCAACAACAGCACCAGGGTCAGCTTGTCCGGGACTAGCAACCCTGCCCTCTGCCGTAGCCTCATCATGGGACTCTTCAATTTCTCCTCCTGCCGCTTCTCCCGATGTTCCTTCAATGGCATCTTCCAGCCCCCTGTGGCTGGGAACTTCATTGTGAGTCCAGGGGATGCGGGTGGGGGCCGGTGCCCTGTAGCTTGGTGGGGTCTGCTCTCGGTACGACTGTACCCCCCTTGCAGGCCTTCTCTGCCTTCTTCTACACCATGAACTTCCTGCGGACGGTGATGGGGCTGCCTGTGGCAACCTTGCAGCAGCTGGAGGCAGCTGTGGTCACGGTCTGCAACCAGACATGGAATGAGGTGAGGCCTCCTCCCCGCTCCCCCAGGGCTGCGCAAGAAGGCCTGGCCAGCCAGCATCAGGCCCCCCTGACCAAGATCTGGAGGATAGAGGGAACAGCAGGGCACATGGAGTGAAGTGGGGTGGGGAACGGTTGTAGCAGGTAGGACTGGCAGAGCTTAGGGGTAGGGGAGCCAGGCTTCAAAGACAACTTCCAGGTCTCTGGCTTCTGCCACTCATCAGACACATGCCAAGTAAAGGAAGTGGTGTTTTCATAGGTGGAGCGTGGGGTGCCTGCCAAACTTCGGGAGAAACACAGTGTCTCCAGGCTCTGGTGGTGACAGAGGCCCCATCCTGTCTTCTCTGTGTCTAGTCTCAGGCAGACATGGGGGTGGGGGTGGGGGTGGCAAAAGGCTAGCCCAAGGTCCATGCTGAAGGCCTGGTGCTTCTCCTGGGCCCCTGACCTCGCACTAAGGTGTTGCTGCCAGCCTGCTGCTCCCTGGGTGGCCGTCCCTGCTGGCCCCTCGAGGTCCACCTCCAAAGCAGGGGTAGCCCACTGCCATCCGGAAGTCACACTGTTGGTCCTGGAGGGAACCGTCCTGCCTGGGGGTGGTGGCCCCTTTGGCAGCTGATGCATCTCTGGCCCCTCATTGCCCGTGGGTGTGTGTTGGGGTGGAGGGGTACAGCACGCCGCCGGCCACCCCTCCTCGTGGGCCAAGACCGCCAGGTGGCCGCCGGCCCAACAGTCTCTCCTGTGCGTCGCAGCTACAGTCTCGGGCCCCGGGGGAGCGGGCCCGCCTGCCCGACTACTGCGCGGGGGCCATGTTCGTGCAGCAGCTGCTGAGCCGCGGCTATGGCTTCCACGAGCGCGCCTTCGGAGGGGTGACTTTCCAGAAGAAGGTGGGAGCCGGCGGTCCGGGGGCGCGGAGGGGCGGGGCCTCCCCGGGCTGCGCGGGGAGCTGAGGCCGAGCCCCTCGCCCGCAGGCCGGGGACACCGCGGTCGGGTGGGCGCTCGGCTACATGCTGAACCTGACCAACCTGATCCCCGCCGAGCCGCCGGCGCTGCGCAAGGGCACAGACTTCGGCGCCTGGGTCGTCCTTGTCCTGCTCTGCGCCGCCATGCTTCTGGCCGCGTTCGTTCTGCTGCTGCGCCAGGCGCGCTCGGCCAAGTCGTCGGGCGCCATCTAGGGGCGAGCTGGGGACGGCTGCCCCCGTCGCGTCTCCCACCCCCCACCCCCCCACCGCTGCCCGGACCGAGACGCGGACGCTGGCGCGCAGGCCCACGGGGGGCCGAGCTGCGCGAAGGGAACCGAGTCCAGGCCCTGCCTGCCGGCTCCAACATCCTCCAGCCTCCAGGGTCTCCCGGCCCTCCTCTTCCTGGGGGTGAGGGATTCAGACACCCCGCAGCCCTCAGCCCGTTCAGGGCTGGGTGTGTAGGGAGCGGAGTTAGGGCCCTCGGAGCACCCCCACCCTCCGGGGTCTGGGTCTGTATGAGGGGGAGGGTCAGAGCCCACAGCGCCTACTTGTAAAAATTTTGTAATAAAAACTTCTTTCTAGAGCAGTGGAGAGAATGTTCATAGGGTGGGGCCTCCTTGCAGCTGCCCGCCCTCCCTCCCCACAGCTGTGTTGGCCAGGAAGACCCACTGCTAGTCCCAAGGCTGGCCCCAGGCTCTTCCTACTTCCTTCCTCCCTGGGCACAGACACAGAGCGGTGAAGATCCTGCTCCCGTGCTCCAGGGCTGGGCCTGGAGTAGCTGTGGGATGGCGGCCCAAGAGAAAGTCCCCGAGTCCCCTGAGTCTTATCTGGACAGCAGGGCCCCTTGCAGCACCTCCAGATCTGCAGCAGTGACCCAAGCAAGACTGGAGGCTGGACCCTGGCCGAGAATTGGCCTGGGGGTGAGGGTGGGGAGCATGGAGGTGGTAGAAGGGGGAGGTAGTGGGCAAGGCAGCTGCCTAGAGCACTCAGTGCTGGAAGGGACTGGGGGACGGGGGTGGGGGGACTCTTGACGGGAAGTGGTGCTGGGGGGGTGTTGAGATGAGGGCCAGGAGGGATGCAGGGCCCCAGTGCTCAGAGAGAAGCACCCGGTGAGGAGCCTGGCTATAAAGCCCAGGTGCCGTCACACTGGGACACAGCTCCCCTCCTGCCTGGGTGCCATCTTCCGTATCCCCAGGAGGTTCCAACCTTGCCACGGGGTGGGGTAGGGTAGAGAGCTGGTGGGCGCCCCCACGTGCTGCTCCTGCAGCCTCGGCCTGTAAGCACTGTTTTGTCCAGCGTGGGAAGGTGTGGTTTGGGCTGTGTCTCCCTGCCCCCCAACCTTTCTAGAAAGTGAGCGCAGACACTATTTCTGTCTGGTCAGTGGCCTGAGGGGAGAACGGCGGTGCATGTCCTGCTCGCGCACCCCCACCTTCTGCAGGGTTTCGGGGTTTCGAGCCATTCACAACCCTGGGGGCAGCCAGCCCTCTCTTTGGAGTTCTGAGGCACAGAGGGCTGAGGGGAAGCATGGGGGGGGCTCACCCTTGTTCTCTCGGTGAGGTGAGTCGGAGGGAGGTTTTCCGGGTGGGCGTGCTCTCTGGGGGCAACAGGTGCAGAGTGAGGGGGTGCATCCATAGCTGCTTGTTGTCCTGAGGCCTCAGGGACCTAGGGACCGTGGACAGCTCCCAGCTGTCCCTCATCAGCCGCTCCAGGTCACTCTTGCCCCCTGGTGGCCTCACTGAGAGCAGCCATAGCCGTCATCGGCACCGGCCTCCTTCTGGGCGTGTGCTTGCTTTTATCATGGGTCTCTGAGGGCCCAGGTGCGTCTTTGGACGCACCTTTCCCTCTGTGTGCGCCTGGTGTCCCGGAGTTCCTGGGGCTCGCGCCTCCAGGCCCCAGGCAAGTCCCCTGCTCCAGCGGGGTGGAGGTGGGGGGTTGGGTGGGAACCCGAGGGAAAAGTGTATCCCGGGGAAGCCCACCCCAGGTCGAGCCGGGTATGTAGAGAGCAGAGAAGGTCCCCGGCAGCAGCGGCCACAGGAGTCGAGGCACCCCGAGGCCTGGAGTGAGGAGATGGAATCTGAACCCGAGGAAGGGGGAGGGGGCGCAACCTGGAGGCGCCGTCCCGCCCCCTCAGGTGGAGCGCGCAGGCGCACTCCCCAAGAGCCGCTCGCCCGCCGCGCCTCGATCCCGGATCCTTTGCCGCAGCGTCAGCGCCGCCGCCGCCGCCTCCTTTCCTTCTCCGCCTCCGCCCCCCGCCTCCTCCTCCGCCGCCTCCCCGACGCGGCGTCCGCAAGCCGCGCCGAGCCCCGGGCCGCGCGGTGCCATGCTGCCCCGGCGGCGGCGCTGAAGGATGGCGACACCCGTCCCTCCGCCCTCCCCGCGACACCTGCGGCTGCTGCGGCTGCTGCTCTCCGGCCTCGTCCTCGGCGCGGCCCTGCGTGGTGCCTCCGCCGGCCGCCCGGGTGAGCGAGTGCGGCCAGTGCAGGCCGCGGGGCGCCCCGGGGCCCGGGATCGCCGGGCGGCGCGGCGCCGTCACCCTCCCCGCCGCCGCCGCCCTCTCCCGGGCCGCAGGACCCGCCTCGCCCGGGATGGGGTAAACAGGCCCGGCCCGGAGGGCGCGGCGCCCCGGCCACCGAAGGGCTCTGCCGGATGGGGCTTCTCCTGGGTTCCTGGCGGCGAACCTGAAGTTCACGCGCGTCTTGTCTTTGTCTCTGGATCCGTGGGCTTGCTGCGTGTCTGTGTCTGTGTCTGTGTCTGAGGAGGGTTCTCTCCGGGTGCGCCCGCCGCTGGGAATTTGTCCTGTGCGCGTCTCTGTGTGTGCGCTTCTTGGGCTCCGCGGGTGCGGGCCTGGCCCTGGGTGCCTGCCGGCCATGCTGCTCGTGTCTGTCCTGGGGTCGGGGTCGCAGTGCTGGTCTGCCTGTCCCCATGCCTCGGGTGGTGTTGGGCACGAACCTTGCTTTGCAGCTGTGGGGGAGTCTGAATTGTCCCAGGCTTAGGGGCTTGTTGCGGCTTCAGTGGAGGCAGGAGGCGCTGCCCTTGAGGGCCCTCTTATGCGCCGGGGGCAGAGCTTGAGGAGCCCAGGGTCCTGGGAGACCCGCCCTGCTTCCCAGATGGGCACCGAGGCTCCAGGCGCGAAGGTCTGCAGGAACCCAGGATCCAAAACGCACCCCCACCCCAGGGCTGGACTGGGGGACTATGCTCATACATTCATTCACTGCTGGCAGCAACATAGGAGAGGTGCTGTTCTTAGCCCATTTTACAGATGAGAAAACTGAGGTACAAAGAAGTTAAGTGACTGGTACGTGGCACAGCTGGGATGCCAACCTGGGCCTTGTGGTTCTGTGTGTGTGGCCTCAAGAAGCCACACCAGGGCAGGCCTCTTCCTGGACACAGCACCCCTGGACAGGAGGCCGGAGCATGGCTGACCAAGGAAAATGGAGGCTGCCTGCAGAGAACCTGGCTCTGGGACATGCAGGGTGGGGCCTCCTGAGGAAATGGAGAGTAACCTCTGTGCTGAGTCCCTGGGGTGGACAGGTGCCATCCCAGCTGCTCATTAGCATTATGAACTCTCCCAGATGCCAGGTGTGGTGCCAGCCACTCTCCAGCTGCCACTGTTCCTGGGATCTCTTCCTGCACCCCGAGGCTGGAGTGGGGACTTCCCCAGGATTAGCCAGGCAGCCACCCTGTCTTTCTAGGCTGGGGGACTGGGAGTGTAGGGAGGCCTCTGGAACCCAGACCCTGGAACCAACTTGGTGCTTCAGGCCTCTACCCTTGGCCTGCGCACTCTGGGTTCTCAGCACCTGCAGCAGGGACTGCCTGACTCCCCAGGTACCCCAGCTGGTGGTTGGGGTCCAGACTGATGAGCTGGCCCATGCCCCAGGCCAGCTCTCTGATACTGGTACCTGTTGAGCCAGGTAGTACAGCATGGGGGTCCCCTGGATGGGAGTCGGCCTGCCTGCTGCAAGGGCTGCTGGACCTTCCTGCCTACAGACAGGAGGCTGGGAGTATCAGCTTACCAAGGAAACCAAGTCAGGCCAGCCAAGGTCTGGAGAAGGACAGAGCCAGCACTCCCTGATCCCCCACGTACCTTGGGCCCCAGTGGCCCTCCTGCAGTGTAGGGTGGGGGCTAGGTGGAGAGGAATAGTCCTGGTCCTCCAGAGACACCCCATCCCAGCCTCCCCAACCAGGATTGACAGTCCTGCTGGGTATCTTCCTGGGTCCTCTGGCCCTGCTGCCCTATAACTGGGGCCAGTGTCCCAGGCCTCAGGGCATTCCCTAGTTTTGAGGCAACTCACCTTCTGTACCCCAGGAGGGAAACTGAGACATAGAGGGATACTGTTTTCCATCCCCCAGCATCACGATGGGACTTATTGGCCATCTATACAGGACACCAGAGTTTGGGCCCAAAGTCCCAGGGACTCCCCAGTCCCTGGCAGCATGACTTCGGGAGTGACCCTGGCCTGGCTTTTGTATCTCAAGCGAGTGAGACTTGCTGACCCCATTCTAGGACTCCCCAGCTCAGCAGCTTCTCTGTGCTCTGGAGACAAGCCAGAGATCAGACACCGGGGGGAGTGACTGTCTTCCCTTGTTCTGTTCCATCTTCTAGCTCTGCTGTAGGGCTGTGGGATGACAGGATGGGACTTGCAGGGCCGCGCTGACGTGGTGGGAGAGGTGGGTGGCCAGTATCTTATGCTGCCCCCAAGGCAGAGAGAGACCTGGGCCCCACCTCCTACGGCTCCCAGCCTGGATGGAGGGTCCAGGGCTTGCTCGGGGCCTGTTGAGACGGGAGACGAGACCTACAGGGCTGCACGGCCCTGGCCAGGAGAGCTGGTGCTGCCCAGACAGTCAGGGACAGCTTCCGCACAGGGCTGGCTCAGGCCTGGAAAGTGGACTCTGGGGAGTGGGTGGGGCAGGGGAGTTCCGATAAGTGTTGGGACAGCTTGTCTTCCTGGTCCTGATCTCTGGCTGTTGGGAGGAAGGGCCTGCCCAGAACAATGGTCGGAGCCAGGCCAGACTGGGTCAGCTCTGTGGGGGAGGGGTGGCCAGGGCAGTACTGCCTCTGTGCCGGGGCCGGGCCGAGCTGGGCGGTGATCCGGCTCTGCCTTCTGCTTCCTTCCTAGATGCAGCTGCCTGTCCTGGGAGCCTGGATTGCGCCCTGAAGAGGAGGGCGCGGTGCCCCCCAGGCGCGCATGTCTGTGGGCCCTGCCTTCAGCCCTTCCAGGAAGACCAGCAAGGGCTCTGTGTGCCCAGGACACGCCGGCCTGTGGGTACGGGAGAGAAGAATGTGCTTCCCCCCCCACCTCTGCCCTGATATATTTGCCACTCAGCCTCAGCTCCTGGGTCCGCTGAGCTTCATTGGTGTGCCGGAAACTTTTATGTCTCCGAGTGGCCTGGTGATCTTTCCAGATAGCACCAGCCCAGAGCCTGGCAGTGGGCTGAGGTGTGGGGCAGTTAGCCCCTACCAGGGCAAGGGGTGTCCAGTGTGAAATGCTGGGGTGATCCCAGGAGAGAAAGAGTCAGAGTTCCTATCCCCTGCCCCCCGCCCCGGGCTGCCTGGGCCCCCTGCCCCGTGTGCCCTCTTTCTCCATGGCTCACTCATCCGGTGCAATCCGTGTGCCTCACCCGGCAGTCTGAGCCCAGAATGTCTGGACAGCCAGCCAGATGTTGAACGGCCTCAGGTGTGATGGGGCATTACGGAGGAATGCTGGGGGTGCTGAAGTCTGCTGGGGCAGGAGGACCTTCCTGGAGGAGAAACACATTCCTGGCAGTGAGGGGGGCCGCAGAAGTAGATGTACAGGCCTGCTTTAGAAGGCGGCAGGTGCTCTGCTCTTTCCCTGCTGTGTGGAGTGTCTAATTGGAGCCTCTGTCTGGACTGTGGGGCCCGTGGCAGGGACAAGGGGGGGGGGCAGCCACCAGCCCCGTCCCAACAGCTGCTCTCAGTTCCTACTGATTAACTGGTGGGGGTGGGGGGGACAGAATGGGGCCTCTCCCCTCTTCTTAAGGAGTCACTGCCTGTCTTGGTAGAAAAGGGGTGAGTGATGCATGGGTAACAGCTAGGGTGAGGGCACCCCTTCCCTTCTCCTCCTGGCCTTTGCGCATTCCCCTGACACCTCCACTCCCTTGCCCCCGCCCCCATTTCCTGGGAAAGCTGCTGCTCACATGGACTGCCTTCAGCTGTCACCAAGGCAACTCGGGATGGCCAGGGATTGCAGGCCTGGAGGGAGGAGGAGGCCTGGGCCAGGGGCATCTGGCTCCTGGATGGACCTCACCACCTCTGGAGGGCCACCTGCAGCTGGTGTTGCCAGGGCGGGGCTGGGGGCCTCTCCACCTGATGGCCCCTCACCCTCTCCAGGGGCGAGCCTGCCTAGGCCCCGACTGGAAGATGAGATTGACTTGCTGGCCCAGGAGCTGGCCCGGCAGGAACCACCACGGCACTCCACGCTCACTGCCCAGCCCCAGCCTGAAGCCCGACAGCGGCAGTTGGAGCTCGGTGAGACCCAGCCCATCCCCCGGGGCCTCCCCACCACTTTTGACCCCCAGCTGGTCCTAGTGTTCTAAACTGCCTTCTCTCTGCAGCAGCCACCCTGGGGCTCTCAGAGCGCCGCCAGGGCCCCGACCTGGGCCCCCCCTCCACTCGGGGAGCCCCTGCACCCACGCCCCACACCTCCTTGGGCTCCCCTGTGTCGTCTGTGCCGGTGCACGTGGCCCCCTTGGAGCCCCGGGGCGGGCGTGGTGACGGACTCGCCCTCGGTAGGTCTGCAGGTCTGTCGGTCTCTCGGTGGGCAGGAGGCAGGGTCCCGCCCCGAAAGCCGCCCTCACCGCACCCCCTCCCCGCAGTGCTCGTCGTGGCGTGCTCGGTAGCCGGCGCGGCCGCCCTCGCCGTGGCGGCTCTCTGCTGGTGCAGGTGAGCGCGGGGCGGGCCAGGCGGACGGGGGACGGCGGGCGGCGACTCCGCGGGTCTCAGGCTCCACTCCCCGCAGGCTGCAGCGAGACGCCCGCCTGACCCAGAAGGCCGACTACGCGGCCCAGCAGGCGCCCGGCTCCCCTGCAACGCCCGGGATCTCGGTGCGTGGCCCCGCCCCGGCCCCGCCCCCCCGGCCCTCGCCACCGCGGCCTGACCCCCCCTGCCGTCTCCCCGCGCAGCCCGGCGACCAGAGGCTAGCGCACAGCGCCGAGATGTACCACTACCAGCACCAGAGGCAGCAGATGCGGTGCCTGGAGCGGTGAGAGGCCCCCCACCCAGTCCGCCCACTGCCACACTGGCCACCCCACCCCGGGCACCGCGCCCCGTGCTCGGCCCGCCCACCCACCGCCCCGGGCTCTGGGCCGAGGTGCGCCGAGTCCCCGCTTGCAGGCTGGGCCACGGGCACCTGGAGGGTGTGGGAGGACCTAGCGATCCCGCCCCCTACTCAGGCATAAAGAGCCGCCCAAGGAGCTGGAGTCGTTGTCCTCAGACGAGGAGAACGAAGACGGTGATTTCACGGTGTACGAGTGCCCGGGCCTAGCCCCGGTGAGTCCTGCGGCAGGAGCCCCAGGCTGGGCGGCGGGGAGGGGGCGGCGGTGGGGGCGAGCGGGGTGGGGACTCCCCCGTGCGCCCCCACCGCCGCCGGCCTGACCCCGGCCTTCACAGACCGGAGAGATGGAGGTCCGGAACCCGCTGTTCGACCACTCCTCGCTGTCCGCGCCCTTGCCGCAGTGACCTGAAGGCTGCCGCTCCCTTCTCCCGGAC